TTGATACGATACAGTGAGTTGGCGTAGTCGATGGTGTGACTTCCACGTAAGATCTTATAGATTAGGCAGTTATATCATGACGAATCTACAAATTTAGGATTAGGTCTATTATTAGAGCAGTACTAATATCATAGTAGATCATAATTCTACATTGGTGAGCCCAACTAAAGAAACGCAACCTAATATTATTAATCCTTATTTCCACTTCAACTTTCTCGATCGATTTTATATTTATGTTAACCCTGTATTCCAATAGTCCTCTGATTAATGCTCACATGCATTATCGTAATGTTATATTGATTAGTCCTCATGACAAACTAGCTCAATCGATAATAAAAACTGGTCGTCTATATTAACTAATTAGCTTTGATGATTTGTTAACAAGCTGTAATAGCATTTACATGCTTCAGCGACATAGTCTTGTTTAAACATCAAGCTCTAGCAAATATGACCTGTAAATAGCGTAAATATACATTGACTAACAATGCGATCAAGGACTAAATAGTTATCTGGATCTAATTCTCAGTGTTCCTTCACTTAACACCTCATCCTGTTTTAAACGATGCACTACCCTGTAATATCTTTTCTTCTGACCACTGCCTGCCTAATTTCATATTCTCGAGTTCCATTGCCAAACAACGAGGATGACTACTCCAAAAACATACGGTGAGTTCCAGCTATAAGTTTTCTGCAATCATAAGTTCATTTTAGATGGCACACACAATTATCTGGATTCATTCAGTTGTTCTGATCAGATCGAGTCCCAAAGACCTCAACAGCATCAAGCACCCTGGAAGTGATTGCCATACTGTATGTTTTATTCTGGATGCTTTTGGATCATTACTACTCCTCACGAATGGCGTTATATATGTCGTCCACTGAATAATCTAATTTTCAAAAATAATCCAGGCGAGTTCAACTATTTTACTGGATGATTTTTTTTACTTAACATGTATATGTTTTCCGGTTCCTTTTGCCATATATTTGTAAGTGTCCCTAGGCTAAATGCAGTAACTTCTTATGGAATGTTTATAACGCATCATATTCCTGCCTGAAGTTTCACAAGCAGTCTAAACTTTAAAACTATTTTCTGGTCATGTTCATTATTTTTAAATCGTCATATACGTCAACAACCTGCATGTTAACCTGGCCCATACATACGTTACACTATATCTCCATGTCTTCTAAATTTAGAAATCATCTGAATCGCCTTTAACATTTATCAATAAACCCATCATAGTCGTTGTTGTTAATCGTATTTGGGTTTATGGATTAGTTTATCATATTAGCAGCCTAAAATGCGAACATAGTTTAGATAATAAGATTAAAAATTTAGGTACTATCAACTGCACTAGTGAAATAACTAAATCCCCAAGTAGCTGTTGGCTAAACAAACGTTTAAAATCAAAACTCAGTAGCCTACTAGAATGAACACTAAACGAATATTTCTGAATTGAAATTTATAATTAAATTAGGCGTCTCGGATTCTTTAACGTTATAAATTTTTGATGATTTTGAATCACCTAAAGCAACAATACCTATTTTTCCACTGACTAATCCTTAATCAACACTATAACTAGTTAAATTTGATAGTTTCAGGATATCGTCATAAAGCATTGTCATAACTTGACAATCACGTAATATGACTGATAAAGTTAATGAAACTAGTAACGAAATCGGTCAGCAAATTGACTTATAATTACCATTAAATGGTGTTGTTTTCTTGGTATCTTCATCCATCACAGATGATTACAGTATGTTTCTCTATCAGTTGCTCATTCAGTAAATATCTCAAAACCTTGTCAGTCTAATTGATGGTTTAGCGACACAATCATGCATGCAAATAATCAGAATAAGCAGTCGAGCAAATCTCCTGCAAACTGAAAACATCAATGTCGAATTTACCCCAACACTGACTAAGGTTCAAGCCATTATCATAGAAATGAGTTGGGAGTGTACTCCCCCTGGTTACAACTCATGTTCTCCCTGATAATCACATGAGCATCACTCACTATTAATCATCCTGTAAAAACTTATTTAGCTAAATACATTTTGCAGCACCACATCACTTCGTAATATGACCCATAGGCTTAACTGATTTTAATAACTTGTAACCACTATATCTCAATTAAATCGTATTCCGCCTTATGATAAACTGCATACTTGCAACTATCTTGTATGCCCAATCAGCCGGCAAGTATAAATATAAATAAATAGTCTATCGCAGATCAGAACATTGAGTCTAGAGCATGTCTCTTACGAACACACTCATGTTTAACGATTTTTCCTAGCTATCTGTCCAAAATCCATATAATTATCACTCATGTATTTAAATTTTGTTCTGATAACCGTTCATGTGTATTAGTAGTATTACTAAATTCTATCACGGTCAAGTAAAAATGAGGTTGAGAAAATCTCCCCGTAACTAAATAAACCGTATCAAACTAACTGGAACACTAGTTGGAATTCTTCTCCACGGTATACTTTTGTTCCTTCAGTTAGCCTACTAATACAGATGCAATTGGAATTCAACTCATATGGACAACTTACCGGCATAATCGTTATCCGATTTCATAATTTAAACCAAAACTAATACCAATATTAACATTTCTACAATATTCATTATTTTAATATTTCTAAACACAAAATAATTACTGCCTATAAGTTAATTTATTAACACACATCGTTTTATTATTATTATTATTGTAATCCCATTTTTTATAGTTCAAATAATCTTCAACCAAATTTTCATTTTAAGCGTGTTAATCATGAAAGCAGATATTTTAAGATTATTACATGTATTTTCCGACCAGATACTGCCTTCTTTTTGATTTATCTTTCAGCTTATCAATACCCGGAGGATCTTTATTATCCTTGGTAACCTCCGGCGCGCGACGATCCCATCCAATTTGGTATCGAACCAACATCACGTTGATTCTGGTGGGAGAGTAGTGTAGTGGCATTGGACAATAGCCACACAATCTACAAAGCTGTGAACACGAGACTACTCAGAAAATAGATATTCAATATTTAACTCGGGGAAATACCTAACAATGGAGAAGGCGCGGAGAATGAATTGAATGGACTGGAGTTGATCGAGTGGCATGGCTCGGCCATGCAGGCGTGGTCTCTATTCATATTAAATATATTGTTCCTTCTCTAACCTAACCTTGTTCTTCATCATGTATTGGTAATTGATACGATACAGTGAGTTGGCGTAGTCGATGGTGTGACTTCCACGTAAGATCTTATAGATTAGGCAGTTATATCATGACGAATCTACAAATTTAGGATTAGGTCTATTATTAGAGCAGTACTAATATCATAGTAGATCATAATCCTACACTTCTACTTGCGCAAACCAAATGCGAGGATTTAATCGGCTGAATGGGGGCACATTTATCAAATTTAGAGCGTGTAGCTCTGCTGAAATGTTATCCTGGCTAATGCCTTCAGTCTCGGATGAATACATTACAAATATAGGAAAATTTAAATACTACCAAGGGTAAAATAACGCCGTAATGTCTGTGAGTGAACTCAAAAGTAGTTGAGAGAGAGAAAAAAAGGTTTTACGGGCTCACCAGATTTGTGGTGGTCCCCAAACAAAAGGAGCTTACACAAATTATATTGATACACTAGGTTAACAATGATATACCAAAACAAATTATTGATTAAGAAACCTAGGTGTCTGTCCGTTAGTAAAAACAAAGGTAATAAGATACCGTTAGCAATACAAAAGGTATATTAAACAAAATAGACGCTAACAGTTACTATAGAATGAATGTTACTTGTTAACTGCCTCGTGAGGACAACGACCACAAACTGAGTTCACTTGGTTGACAGGTGTTCCTCTGCAAGTGACTGCACCAAAGACGTAATGAGGAAGACGGAGTCCAATAGTATTATACAATAGTAATTCGTGCCAAAAGCCCAACGTTGAGTCGGAAGGCCTATAATGATGTTATAATACTATTATAGTCTTCAATCAAAGCGGTGGCCAATAAAACAGAAGAACAAACGGCGTAAGTATTGTTCTATATTTTAAACAACCCGGTAGAAGAAGTGTATATCATTCGTCGAAACAATTATCATCGTCTTTTTTTAACAAGTGATACAGCAAAACAACAGATATTGAATAAAAATGTGGTTACAAATAAGGTGTGACAAATTAGAGAAAAAATGTGGTTTTTATTTTTGTTGTTACAAAAAATCACTGAATATATGTCACCATAAGGTAACTCATTGATGATCCTTTGGTTACAAAAATAAAACTTTGCATAAAGACAACTCTATTTTTTCGTTTGAAAAAGGTTGACGACGGGATTCCAAGAAGCCTCTCAAGCCAAGAACCAGTAACTTGATGCTTGAATGCCGGGTTTGTAGTCAAGAAATCAACATGTGGAACTCTTTTTCTCAGTAGGTAGTTGGAGATGCTTCGGTTAACATACCCCCAAGAAGGTTACAAAAACGCCACAAGTTTTCGGAGTTTGACAGTACTTTAATGAGTAACATTTTTCAAAACCAGGACTTGTCAGTCCAGTGAAATCAGAAGTCAGAAGCGAAGTGGTTCGAAGATATATTTGGTAGGCTGTCGATATATCGAGAAGTGACTATTCTAAGCTGGCTAGCGGTTTTACGAGAGATAAAGCATGGCGTACTAACCTGTGATCTGGTGCCGAGAGTCTTCAGCTAGGCTAGTCCATCAAGACTAATGCGTTCAGCATCAGATGTCAAGGACTTACGGAGCTATTTAATTTGTGGATTTATTTACGATTACAATTGAATCAAATGAGACTATTGAACGAGGACCAACACATGACATCCAGTGACTTATCCTTACTCATTCTCATTTGAAAGTGTACATTTATGGGGTGCAATGATATTTGAATAACTGTGATGGAGTGATATTTTTGTTATAGTGCTTCAGAAGTTCGAATCCCAGTAATTTTACTTTTGGCGCGTTGGTACGCACGCGTGGTTGGTCCATTTATCTGCACACAATGGTCGTAAAAAAAGAAGTTAAGGAGAAAACAAATAACCCGATGCGAGAAATAAAAATCCAGAAGCTATGCCTTGATATCTGCGTTGGGGAAAGCGGTGACAGACTAACTCGAGCTGCCAAAGTTTTAGAGCAATTGACTGGTCAGCAACCCGTTTTCAGTAAAGCACATAAGACTATTAGGAGTTTTTCGATCAGACGTAATGAAAAAATTGCTGTCCATTGTACTGTGCGGGGTCCAAAAGCAGAGGGTACGGCAGTTTAATCCCTAATTTTTCAGAAATTTTGGAAAAGGGTCTAAAGGTGAAGGAATACGAGCTTCCTAAATCATGCTTCAGTAAAACCGGAAACTTCGGCTTTGGATTGACCGAACATATTGATCTTGGATTAAAATACGATCCCGCTATTGGGATTTATGGAATGAACTTCTACGTCATTTTGGGCAGACCTGGGATGCGCGTTAGATATCGGTAATTGTACCTTCAGTTACTAAATTTTTGAACTAGACGTCGTTGTCAAAGCCGGGTTGGCAATAGTCATCATGTCCAGAAGGAAGAAGCTATGAAATGGTTCCAAACAAAGTTTGATGGTATTTTGTTAAACAAATAATTTAAAGAGGACATTCTGGTATTTGTTATCTGGTTCTTATTTGTCGTGGCAATTCTTAAAATTAGCTTGTAATTTGGGTGTTTAACTATTGAATCCTTGTTGATCAGTTAGTGTAAGCGTAAATCCGTTTATACATGTTTCGATGATCATATAGCTTATCAAGTCGTTTTTGTAGTTGATGTATATGCTCATCCGTTTAGTTTACCTAAACTACTGCTCACAGCATGTAGCTTCTGTATGTGTTCTTGCTACGACTAGATGGGTGATAAGGCCTTTATAATGATCAGATTCCTTAGTTTTTTCTTGATACATGATTGTGGCTTCGTAAATAAATTAAAGTAGAAATTTGTCATTGGTGTAATATCTTGAGACAATCAAGTTTTACAACTCAGCTGTTAAATGGTCTTTGACTATTATGATGCATTATTGTGAAATGTTGGTCTGTCTGTTGAGTATAATATCTACCGACAGCTTACATGTTAACCTTTCTACAATATAGCAGTCAGACAATAACAGTGTAATAGTGTCTACATTCTTGTCACAGCTTAGGAATGATAATTCAGGTGATATCTCGATTCATGAATTCCTATCTGGAAATGCCGAAAAGTTGAAGATAAATATTGCAATTAAATATCTAACTATTCAATTAGTTATAAAAGGTTCAGTAGTCACAGCTATATATTTGAGAAACCATATAGTCTATGTTGTCTGATCTCTTACTTAGTTTTATCGAATATGGAGTTATAGCCACACATTTTGATCGTGGCAAAAGTTCAGTATATTAAACAAAGTACTAGAGTTGTAATTAGAGTTTTGGCTGCTACCGAGCCTATATACGCTTTGATTTGGCAGTCAACCAAAAATACTCGTAGCATAAAAAACGGACCTTATCAACTAGCACTGTATTATACTAAAATAACTTATAATAGTCTTTCGAATGGACATAGCGTTGGCAGTATTACAGATAGCTATTAGTAAGTCGATTTTGGCGTAGGGTATCTAGATTAGTCAGGACTATTTGGTTGGTATTCGAAACTACACCGAGATCAGTGGTTGCAGACATTGAGTGATAACCTAGTCATTGGCGCAAATATATGCACTCGTTTTAGTCCTTTAAATACTTCTGTTATGTTGTCATACGTTGCTGTCAACCTTCTCGGACCAGCTTCTTAATTTTCAATTTTACGTATTACTATTGCTGTATTCTCTCGGCACACCTGTTACTCATCCTAAGTTGTCTTGTACTAGTGTTTATGGAAATCCAGCTCAATCCTCGTTTGTACCAAACTCATCGCTGATAACGTCTGATTGTTGGTAGTTAGGGGGTAAAATATATTATTCCTCGGCCCATCATCGCCTTCCAATCTGACTTTTCTAGCAGTACCATTATCCAAAGATGCTTCACACACTATTATTAGGTGGAGCATTCCATACAAGTGGTTTGAGATAATGGTAAAAATTGAATGAGTCGCTATATTGAACCAGTAATTATTTGTGAAAATAACGTCGCGTATATGTTCGATTAGTATTTTTATCATACACATCTTCGGTGTAGTGCATATTCGTTAGTAAAGTCTCGAATTTCTGCAAGTTGTGCCAAACTTTTCGGGACTAGTTGCAACTGGTCATTATTGTCGGTGCTTTTAAACAGTTCAGTTAGGTCCCACTGTCGTGCTTAATATTTATGCATGTTTGAGGGCTAATTGCTTGGCTGATAATTTCATTCCCTACCAAATGTCGGAATTGAGCTAGTAAGCAACAAAGATAATCTCTGATTAGAAGTGTTGTGCCTGGTTTTAAGCATTAGGACGAGTTTCGGTTTGGTCACTCGGGCAGTATCACAGTCCTCACACATCAAATGAGATCTGTGTGGCGCATGCGTATTTCGTGCATCGTACCAATGTCTGTGTTGAAATAATAATGCTAGGACGAGCGGGCTGCTATGTAATCTGATTAGTGGTGTTAGTCGTTGAAAGACTTTTCACTTATGAAAATAGTAATGGTTTCAAAGTTATGCAGTAATGGCACCAGACTGAGTGATTAGTTTATCTTACTGTAAGAGATAGAATGTTGGTTGGGATATCAACAAACTATCTTGTCACAATTCGATTGGGATATGGACTTCAGTATTCTTGGGATACGATTCTGTGCTGTAAATAATTGCAGGAAACAAAGCGGTTGGCCTTCTGCATTGGGACCTATTAGCCTATAATATTTGTGGGAATATGTGGACTAGGTATAGATGATTTATTGTTGTCTAAGGTGTGAACCTACCTACGATTTGTCTCGTTTTGGAAATTTTTATTCCTATTATTGGATCCACTATACATAACCATCGCACTTCAGTTTTCGTTCACTTGATCCTTCTGTGTGTCATTTAGAAAAATTAGCTCACAATGAACTTTTTTATATAGGAATTGTAGTAGTCATTTTCACATAACTCAGCACCGATATGTACACGTCACACCTAAAAACCGAATTGGTTGGAGTGTATAGAATGCAGAATTGTCGTGGATTCAGAGTTTCTCGTATTCGGCATTGGTAATTGTATGGTCATATAACCTAGTGTATCAAGAAATTCAGTAAATCTGTATACCATGTACGTTTTCTAATCCTGAGGACAACGAAAGCCATCGCTTTCGGTATGTAACTTTTGTTACTTTCTCTTAGCGCATATTATGGTTCATTCTAGGTGCATAGGAAATTCATGTTTTATAAACTAAAGTCATTTACTAGGTTCAGGGTTAACATATTCAGCCTACAACTGCCTTGTTTAGTGGCTAGTTATAGCTTCCTGCTGTTCGATTAGCAGTCGAGTTTGAACCTTCAGTCTATTAGTAGTAATTAGGATATTTCAATTACTAAGCAATAGTCTCACTGTAATTCATATTACAGTTGTAAGCTAGTTTGTCTATTTCTGTACTAGGTGATGAGACCTGTGCTACAATAAATGGGTCAAACTATTCACATAATTATTAATAAAAACTATGCAGATACAAGCTTATACTGTACCACGCCCAAATATCAGATATTGAAGCTTTTAATGAAATAGTATTAGTATCAATTTTACGAGTTTTTCAAGTTCCACTTATCAACTGGTCCTCTTTCAATGGTTATTTCAGCCAAACTTTAGATGTTTTTGTAGGTCGATCGGAAGTCAAACGTTGAATTATGTCTTTCTTAATGTTGGATAAGGTTCTCAGTTTTAAATGCCATTCGGAAAAAGATAATATCGAAATCCACTCATTAAATTTGACCAACCTGTAGGTTACAAAAAATAAAGAGCAAACTGTAAGAATCAGAAGCTTATTACTGCTCGCTGCTTAGAGATCACCGCATTTAGATGTGTTCTTAGAAGTTGATTGAATCCCTAAAGATTTTCAAAACACAAAACTGTTACCTATCAATTCATACATATGTTTTCTAATCGTAAACATAAATCAACTATATCGAAACGTTAGATATATAGCACAAAGTTTACAATTTGTGAGTAAAAATGTGGAGAGTTACAGTTTTGTTTCGCTGCGAAGTAGAAAAAAGAGTACAACATGCATATGATTCCTAAGGAAGTAGAAAGGAAGCCGGATATTTTTTCAAGTCAGACTATCAGTTTTAACTTGTGCGTCTTTTATTTGTACTAGCGTTAGTATTCCTGTGAATGTATTTTTGTAAAGGTATGTTAGTGGATTATAGGTTTATGTAAATAGTTAAACTAACTATGATCAGTTGCTACTAATTCTTTTTTGAATAATAAGTAGCATCAATATTAATAATAATAGTGAAGTTTATATACATATATACTGTGATATACTTCCTGTGAATCTCATTATATTGGTGTTGTTGAAGCATATTTTGTTTTGTAAACTAATTATAACCAATAGAGAGATATATATCAGAAGAAATAAAGAGGAAAAGACTGAAAGGGTGTTTGTCTGCGTAAACAAATGGAAAGAAATGACCGTTTCGTCAATCAAGTAATTCTATCAGCATCATAGTTGTTTTCTTATCTCAATATTTCGGGATTCCTCATACATATAAAATTCACATTTGTAATTATTCGGTTGCAAAGTCGATTTTGCCAATATAAATGAGGGGTTACGAGTACACAAGCTTTAGGTCCTCTGTAATGTTTTTGTTTTTGTGACAGGTAGTATTTACGTTTTATCTGTTTATTAGTTGGTGATCGCCATTTCGTATTGACAGGGTGTCCTTTATCCCATTTTGTAAAACCAACATGTTCGAAATTATGCCAAACCCATGGTCCACGTGGTTGTGTTTGATGAAGACCTATAATTAAGAAAAAAAGCTTGTAGTTTAGATTTGATCTCACTAGTATTTTATTGCATGTTTTTATATATCCATCGTATAAATACGGATTAGAAAATTTAAAATGGAAAACCATTGTCATTTGCTTTACATTGTAATCATCATTCAACTGGGTAACTTATTTGAAGTTTGTACTAATTACGATTCATGTCTTGTCTAAATTTACTAGTAATTTAGTTTATTTGCCGAGTACGGTTTCATATTTTAGGGTTTGAACTTTCCACTATTTTGTTCGAGGTCTAGTGGTCCTATTTGGTTCCCCAGACCTCAGAAGTAGGTGGAACGTGGTTAGAATAGAGCACTCCAATCAAATTGAACATAATTTTTATCGAGAGTTTTATTAGGGATAAATTTCTTCGTAGGTGGTTTTTGTCTCGAATTACGGCTGCTCGAGAAATCGTTGAAAACGAGTGTTTACTGGCTGTTTATTCATAGGATATGACTTTTCAGCATTGTGCATCTATAACCTTGCAAGTGATTGAACTCATAAGCTTCACTTCTTGAAGCTAGCCCATCACATTTAGATTACTGAATTGGAAACATAGTCCACACCTTCAACTTAAGTCAGTTCAGAATGTACTGTGACTATCACTTAGTCTCCTTGACAGGAAACTGTTTCATTTGAAACATAGTTGAAACCCTACAAACTACTCGCTACTGACGGGTTTCGTACA